ACGAGAGTTGGCGGCGGCGGCAGGGGGCCAAAAGGTGGTCGGAATGCCTGCATGCACACCTGTGCAATACCGACTATCAACGGAACGCACAGCTCATCGCACACATCGTAAGTGCCACAACCACTGCACGCACTGTGGGGACCTGGCCTCCGCACCTACCTGCACCTCTAATCACAAAGTAATTGCTCAAATGCAGTACGCAAGGCCGACCCAGCCTGCTTAGCCCTTTGTGATGACCTCATCTGCCACAACCTCGCAATACATGCGAAGGGCTGTGCAACACAGAGCATGCTGCAGAGCATATGCGCCGGCAAGCTCGTTGCGGCGACATGTTGATGCCACGCAGGGCAATGGAAACACCATTTCAAGCCATTCTAACGGGCATCGTGCTTACATTGAAAAAAAGCTGTAGTAACAAGTAAGAATCTGATTACAAAACAGCCTTCGTTTGGCGCTGGACTGTCCCTCATCCATGCATGCCACGATTGATGGGCTGCGTTTTGCAGCGGCCCAAGCAGGAATGGAGTGCAGCGAACAAACAACCGCAACCTACGGCACGTTGGCGGGTGTCTGCCAGGCGCATATCGCAGCGCCCCGCAACCCCTTCCTGCTGTGTGTGACGTGTGGCTAGTGTGCCGCATCTCTCCCAAATTGCGGTCATGCCATCAGTATGCTGACAGCGGCAGCGGCAGCGGCAGCGGCAGCGGCAGCGGCAGCCGGCATTTCAAGCGCGGCAGCCTTGCAGTCGGTGATCATGCCAACAGTGCCTGAACCAGGCGTGCGCCGAACCGGTGCCCGGCGCCACCAAGATCTGGAAGACTGACCAGCTGCGACTTCGTCCACCATCAACTCCAGGACATCAGGCGCCACCCTCAACCAAACATTCGCCCAAGCCTATGAAGCTTCTCAAGGATATACCTGCAGTTGCACCAGGGGTCCCAGAGACAGGTGTGAAGCATATGGGGGGGCCAGAACACCAGGACACATGCAGTCATCCTCCAGGGCTAGAATGGCTGCGCCAGGTGCCGCAGCAAATGTCAAGCAACATACAATGTTTCTCTTGACCAAGCCCTCCGCCTCTCAAGGTGTGCCACTTACACAACGAAGAAGAGGCCGAGGCCGAAGAGCACAACCCACAGCATGAGAAAGCTGCGTGACTGCTTGCTGACAGCTGTCAGCCGCCGGCTGGCTTTCTTGAGCATCATCTGGGCCTTCTCCATGTACTCCTCCTGAGGGCGCATTACAGGCGCGTGGGAGAGTTCAAATCCCTGGGGTAAAAAAAACTCAGGAGGGACAAAGGTGATGTGCCGGCATCCGCCTGCGGCGCGATGTTGACACGGGCCGCCCCAGCCATATGAAGGCAACACGCAGAGTGCACCTCACGCGCCCTGTTCGCGCAGAGGCCCTGCATCTGTGCAATGCTGCTCTCGCCCCAGCCCCCACCAGCGTGTTGATGTCGGCGCCCTGCAGCTTGCGCTCGTCCTCGATGGCATACGCGAGCTGCAGGATCAGACAGGATGAGCGGACAATCAGCCGCTCAGCGGCCTGAAGTCAGGACAACGATTACCCTGCTAGCCGTGGCGTGAACCACTATTGTGATGGTGTGTCAAGTGGCAGCTGGGCAGCTGCTCCAGCAGCTGCTAGACGTTGGTCAGGCAACATCCGCAAGCCCTGCACCCTAAGGCAGATGATGCCCACCTGTTTGATTTTTTTGACGTCATTGCGGAGGTCTTGCAGCTGCGAGTCGTAGTTGAACTGGGGGTCGATGCTGATCTGCAACTGGTCGCTGGGCTGAGAGCGCGCATTCAGCCCCCCGCTTCAGATGCGAAGGGCCATGCAGGGCGGGGCGAAGGGGGCCGCGGCGCATGTCAACTGTGTGCAAGGAGCAGATGAGAGGCTTCGAGTCGCCTCACGTTATCACGCCAAGATTTTGGTCACAGAGCAGCATGCGCTCCCGCCGCGCGCAACAGCGGCAGAGGTGCTGCAGCGGCGCACCGAGATGTGTAGCCTCCTCCAAAGGCCATGCGGTCGGTTGATCAACTCGATAATCAGACCTTCGTGGCAGACAGATCCTGGGCGTGGCGCGCTGCCGGCCTCGCTACGAGCACAACACTGCCACGAGAACACCGGACGCAGCTTGCAAAAGACACGGCTGTTGTTATCGTCGTTATTATCCGGAAAATGAATGACACACCGTTACGTGCCGTACTTTTGCAGCTCTGACTGAGATTTCTGAGCCTGGCACATGCGGGGCAGCTGTTGAGAAGCTCCAGCTATGCCCATCATCAATGTACACCAGCCCAGCGACCTCCAAGGGCACATGCGCACCGCCCTGTGTTGCGTGCACATCAAACCCATTCTCACCACCCGAGCTGGCATTGAGATGCTCTGACAGATGCTTGAGCCGCGTCCCCATCAGTGGACGTGCTCAAAGTGGAGTTCACACCACCAGCCGCATGGCGATGCGCGGCACCCTGTCGCATGCATCTCACAGCCTCGACCCGTTCTTCACACTCTTCCTACAACAATATTCGACCCCCAATGCATGTGCACATTACAGCACTGGCTTGCTTCGCCTGCTTGCAGATCCCACCTGCCTCTCCTAGCATATCAGGCTTGCACACACGATGAGCGATGCAGGCGCGCCACGAACGCAAAAGTGCAGGAGTAGAGGGCATTCATCGTGCTGGAGGTGCTGTGACCTCAGTCCCTCAATTCCCACCCCCGCTGCGAGCACTGCATGGCTGCCCCAGGCGGGGAGCCTGAGGCGATCTCCGGGTCCATTCACCCTGGGCTCGGCGGGTTACAGGAAACAGTCGTGACAGGACAGACATGGACTGATAAGCCCTGCTCCCAGAAAGAGAGAAAAACAGAGTCATGCGAGCAGATCGCGAGCGCTGCGACTGATTGTTTGGTGGCGGCAGTGACACCTGAACTGGGTGGGACGCTCCAATTGACGTGGCAAGAAGAGTTGGTTTTCTGTGTTTCTGGGCGATACGATTGCGTGGAGCCTCGAGATAATGCCTAGGCAGCACCTGCTTGCTGACCCCACACCATGTGCGCCTGCGCCTCTCAAAATCTTTGCGTGGCAGGCCGGCAAATACGCCCGGCCCGCAACAGGAATGCAAACACGTGGCCGGCGCACCCTTCACCCTCCCCTGCCCCACATACAGAGGCCGACGACCCAGCTGCCAGCGGCCGCCGCAAGGGCAATCAGACAGCTGCGAAGGCCCTCTCGTGGTGCCGGAAGCACCACGCAAGAGAGTAATGCGGCACGCAGAGCGCAGCGGGCGCGTTTCTTTCAGCGCTCATCCACGCAGGAGGTGCACACACAAGAGTGAGACTGGGCGCGCAGTCCCCACAGGACAAAGCAACAATAGCATGTCGTGTCTGGGAGGCCAGGGCCGTGCAGGCGCGCGCCGGGGACCCGGTGGCCGCAGCTGCGCTCCCTGACCAGCGGCCCTACCATGAGCCGGGGTGAGGCCGATCATACGCTGCCGCCGCGCGCTGTATCGATCCGGCAAGCAGCGGCCAGGACATCGCCACATCGCCGTGCGCGGCAGCTGCTCCGTCGAGGCGGTGGCGCCCCCAGCTGCCTGCGGCGGCCGCCTGCTAGCGCCGCTCAGCTGAGCGCGAGGTAGCCCTGGCCGATGGTGATGGCGGTGATGATCTTCTCGCGCGTCTCCTCGTAGCTGACGTACCGCGGCAGGTCGAGCTGGCGGAAGCAGGTGTGCGCAGCCGGCAGGCGGGCGGTGCGGTCGGCCTTGTCGTACATGCGGTCGACGCTGACAATGTGGAACGCGGGCTCCAGGGACGCAAAGCCCTCGACGGGCATGCCGTCAGAGCCGCTCCAGAACTGCAGGAGCTGGCGGCGCTGGACGTCGTCAAAGGACTCGACCGCGGCCCAGAACCAGCGGATCTGGTCCTCCTTGCCGTTGTAGCCGTCCTCGTACTTGCAGGCTGAGCGCAGCCCGGCAATGTCAATGACCTAGATCATGCGGAGGCGGCGCGGGATGAGAGGGTGAGGGGGTGAGGGGGTGGAGAGACGGAAAAGGTCAAAGCAGGTGCTGGAGTCGCGGGCTCGACATGTTGGCGGCCGATGGTGCTTTCTTGCTGGACGCAAGCAGACGCTTGCCAGCGTCGAAACGCCCACCTATCTTGGGAGGCGCAGCAATCTGTCCGTACGGGACAGCCCCCAGCCGCAACAGTGCCGCTGGCGCCTGCAGCGCCCCAAGGCGCGCTGTCCCCAGCCCAAGGGCCCCGTGGCCGCACCTGCTCCCCGCAGACCAGCAGCTGCAGCTCCAGGGGCGTGAAGCCGTACTTGTCCACCAGCTCACGCGGCACCAGGGAGTGGAAGGCGTCGATGACGGCGCTCATCTGCGCCTCCACCGCGCCCATCAGCATCTTCTGGGCCTTCAGCAGCACGTACTCGCGCTTGTTGGCGTTGGTCACGCGCACGTGGCTGCCGCCGGGCTTGAGGGGGATGCTCGCCTCCACCTTGGTGCTGCTGTCGCCGCTGAAGGGGCTGGCGCCGCTGGGCAGCGCAGGCACCTCAGGCTCATCCTTGCCGCCGCCCGCGCCGCCGGCGCCGCCGCCACGCCGCGTGTGTGTGAAGTTCCACGCGAAGGTCTCGAATATGAGGCCGTCGATGTCGAGCTCCAGGATCTGCAGCAGCGACCTGAACTCTGTGGGGTCGAGGGCCTGCAGGTCCATGAGGCTCACGGGGATGCCCAGCATCAGCTTCCAGAAGGGCTCGCAGAAACGCAGGTTGAGGGAGATGGGGCCCAGCTCCTTGGCGCGCGCCGCGCTCTCGAGCAGCGCCTTGGCCATGAAGGAGCCCACAAAGTGGAAGCGCTTGAGGTGGCTGGGGCTGGACGACAGCGGGTTCACGTAGAGCTGGTTGGCCGCGGGGCCGCCCGCCCAGAAGAGGTCCAGGCTGCCGCGTGACAGCGCCGCGCAGATGCACGAGAACCACTCGCGCGTCACGCCGCCGCTGTCCATGCCGGCCTCGCCGATGAACGTCACCTTCAGCGGCTGCCGCCACACGTTGACGCCCTTGCCGCTGAACGTCGTCACGCTGTCCTTGAAGCAGCGGCTGCGGCGGACCTCGATCTTGTGCAGCGGGCCCTCGGCCGCCAGCTTGGCGGCCTCCTCCATGAACGCGCGCCGCCGCGCCCGGAAGTCCTGCCGCACCCATCGCCGCAGGCCGGGCTCGACCGCCGCGCCGGGCGCCGCCAACGGCACCAGCAGCAGCTCCTCAACGGCCTCCCACGACACCGCCGCAGGGCCCAACGCCGCCAGCTGCACCTTGAGCGCCTCGAGCCTGGGCAGCACGTTGCCCTCCAGGCTCGCGCCTGCGGCAGCCGCCGCCGCCGCCGCTGCTGTCTCACCGTCGCTGCCGCCGGCGTAAACGCTGCTGCTGACGCTCTCGGCGCAGCGCAGCGCCATGCGCGCCAGCTCCTCCGCGATCGCCACCGTCTCCTGCCCGCTGCTGGGGGTGCGCGGCACGAGGTTGAACAGCGTGCCGGCCGCCAGCGCCTGACGCGCAGTGCCCAGCAGGCCGGGCGCCTGCTGTTCTGTGAGCAGCTGCAGCAGCACGACGGCAAAGCCGTACAGCGGGTTGAACGCCGCCACAGCCGAGCCGCCCGCCCCATGGGCCGCGTCCCCAAAGCCGCCCCTGAGCGCGCTGCCGCCGCCGCCACCAAACATCTGGGAGGGGTGGATGTACGGCAGCAGCTGCTCTCGCGCCTCGCTGATGCGCGCCTCCCCCGGCGCAACGCCCAGGCTGAACTCGAGCTGCGCCAGCATGGCCGGCACCAGGCTGAGCTTGGCGGTGGCGCCGCCGGGCACCAGCCGCACCGCCGAGGGGATCAGCATGTGCGCGACTGCGAGCGGCGACAGCGGTGCCGCGAGCGCGGCGCTGTCGCAGCCGCCGTCGTCCAGCCCCGCGCCGGGCGCGAGGCGGTGCAGCGTCTGCAGGTAGGCAAGCGCCGCGCCGACGTCGGATGCGACGCCCAGCACGTGCTGCCAGGGCAGCAGGCCGCGCTCCAGGCGCGCCGCGAGGCTGCAGTCGCCGTGGCGCTCCTCCACAATCCAGAGGTGGCACCCGCCCTCCAGCAAGGCCTGCTCCGCCAGCTCAGCGCCGCGCGGCGATGGCAGCGCCCCGCCGCCGCCGGCTGCACCGCCGCCGCCGGCTGCATCGCCATCCTCGTCCATGGGTGTCGCGCCGTCGAGCGGCTCAACGCAGGCCCCCAGGATGGCGGCGACGTTGGGGTGCGCGCAGCAGAACCGGCTGCAGGCACGCTGCACCTCGAGGAGGCTGACCGGCTGCGGCAGCGTGAGGCGCCACACCTGGCAGGGCGTGCCCCTGAAGGCGCCCGCGTACACCTCGTACCCGCCCACACGCTGCGGGGCCGCGCCGTGCACCGCCGCAGCCACCTGCGCCGCGGTCAGCGGCTGCACGCCCAGCGCCGCCAGCAGCCCCATCCCGCCGTGAACGCTCCCGGCGTAGCCGCCGCTGGCGTACACCGTGGTACCGATCTTGAGGCCACCGCCGCTGCCGCCGCCGTCGCTGCCGCCTGTCAGCGCTGTGAGCTTGTCGCCCGCCGCGCTGCCGCAACCGCCGCCGCCGCTGCCGCTGGCCCCTTGTGAGCCCTTGCTGCCGATCACCATCGGCTCCTCACCCTCCTCGCCCGCCGCTGCGGCCGCCGCAGACCGTGCGCTGCGCGTGCGCGCAGACGCCGGCTGCTCGGCCGCCTCGCCGCCGATGGGGCTGCGTGCGCTGCCGCGCGGCGACATGCGCGCCGAGCGCCGGTGGGCCCTCGCGTCGCGGATGATAGCGCGCGTGTCATCCGGCAGCGGCGCACGCGCAGCGCCGGCGCCGCGCTGCAGCGTGGCTTCGAGCTCCGCGATGCGCGACATGGCGCCCGCCATGCGCTGCTGCAGCTCCTGCAGCTCAAAGCTCCGCAGGCTGCCAACCTCGCCCTGAGGGGGGGACGCAGCGGACAGCATTGGCAGGCTTTGGGTGGGCACCGGGTGATGATAGCAGGCGCGTCTGAGCTGGTGGTAAGACTGCCAGCAGGGGCACGCCCGCTGAAGGTCCACCGCACTTGCTTCCACAATATTCCCGTGCAGCAGCGCTCATCGTCCCCTGTCTTTCTCCCCCCTCCTGCCTGCAGGCCCCCGGGCCCCCAAGCGCGCCCACCTTGGCCTGCTCGAGCCCCTTCCTGTGCTCCCGCGCCTTGATGCGCGAGATGGCCTCCTGCACCTCCCAGGGCGTGGGGTCCTCCAGCTCCCCCAGGTCCCCCGACACCTTGGCCAGGACGGACCGGCCGAAATCGGTGGGGTCGGCCGTGCCGCGCGTGAGCAGCAGCAGCTCCTCGTTGATCACCACCACCGCGCGGCCGCCGTGGCGCAGCAGGCTGAGGAACGCCGGCAGGTCCTCCTCGCCGACGCTGGTGTCGCAGTACAGCGCGTCGTACTGCACCCCCTCCGTGCACTCGGGCACCAGCACGTTGCCCAGGCTCAGGCTGGCCGCAGACAGCGCCTCCAGCGCGCCGCACGCCGCGGCGGCCGCCGGCGCCGCCGACGCGACCAGGTGGTGGCTGGAAGCCGGCAGCCGCTCGCGCAGGCGGCGCATGTTCCCGCGCGCCGCCTCCAGGCGGCTGGAGACGCACTCGATGCCGTGCACGGTGCCGCTGCCGCCGACCATGAGCGCCGCGACCGCCGTCACGTAGCCGCTGCCGCAGCCGACGTCCAGCACAGCCGCGCCCGGCTGCAGGTCCAGTGCCTCCAGCGCCGTGGCCACGACGCTGGGGGGCGGCATCGTCAGTGTGCTGCCGTCGGGCATGCGCATCGTCACTTTCTGGTCCCTGCGGTGGCGGTTCCGGGGGGTTGGGGTGGGCAGGGAACGCTTTGGGGGGGGGGGAGGCGAGGGCTATGAGAGGCAAAGTACCCAGTTCCTGGCACACGGCTGGCTGGTCGCCAGGTGCTGCCTGCTAATAGAGGTCCTGTTCAGACCCAGGCATCCTTGAGGGAGCCGACCCGAGAGGAGGGGAAGGGCGGTGGTCGCACGCCGGCAGCCCTGGCCCAAAGGTAGGGTGGCCGCGCCCACCTGAAGGCCTCGCGATGGCGGTCGCGCGGCACAAACAGGTCTCGCGGCACCAGCAGCATGGCCGCCTCTGCGCGCGCGCTGCTGAGGTGGCCCTTGGCCTTGAGGATGTTGACCAGCTCCTCCGCGGTGTGCTCGCCCTTGCCGATGGGCCCGGGCGCCAGCACCGCGTTCTGATGTGGGCTGGTGAGCGTGAGCGCGGCGTGCAGGGGCCCCTTGACGTTGGCGATGGTGCCGATGCTGTGGCCGCCGGATGAGAAGCGCAGGGTGCCCTCCTTGAGGTCCAGCGTGAGGGTGATCTCGCAGCGGCCCTCGTGGAAGGTGAACATGGGGCCCGCCTTGCCCTTGTGGCGCGCAGTGCTGCCGCGGCAGGGCTTGGCGACGGACTGCCAGTGGCCGAGGTTTGACACGTGGAAGTAGCGGCCGTTGACGTAGATGTAGCCGTAGTAATCCAGCCCGATGCCGCAGCCCTCCTGGCCGATGGAGTGGTTGAGGTCCATGCCGGCCGGCGCCACGCCCACCAAAAAGTTGGCCGCAGGCGCGCCCGCCAGCTGCTCCAGGCGCACCACCCAGCTGTGCACCTCGGTCTTGGCGTACTCGCGCAGCCCCAGGACCGTAGCCTGGCCCAGGAAGCTGTCCAGCGCGGCGGCGGGCTTGAGCGTGACGGTGCTGCCGTCCGCGCTGACGTTGGCCCAGGGCGAGGCCCTGAGCACGTTCCACTTGAGGGAGAGCGCGAGGTCGAGGAACATGCTGCTGCTGTGGAGGGTGATGGAGTCCATGATGTTGTCCAGGGACACATAGGGCCACAGCTCCTCTGACGGGTGG